CCGATTCCATCATATGTAGAATATGGTAGAAAACAATAAAACATGAGCTGGGCAAACTTCAGCAACACATACAACTAGATTCAGTTTACTGTTGTGACACACAGAAAAATTTCCTGACTCGCTGTAATTGGTAAACTCACATTGAATAAGATCACAGTTCTTTGCACTGCTGTGTTGAATATTCCTGGTACTTAGAAATAGCAGCACACATACTCTGTTAGTTTCTAAGCTGTGTAATGAAATCATAAATACTAGTATTTGTAGGACTGCAGTCACCAAGGAGGTAACAAATTGTTGAGTGCGTTTGTCGTTTGTTTTGCTTTACCGATTTGGTGCAGCGACGCATGGGGTTTCTCAGCTGCCAATGGGATGTGCGGGATCCCTTGTGTGTCTCTGTACCTTTAAGGAGGTGGGGCGTCCTCCTGACAGGCCTGCACCCAATTTGATATCTTCTGCCCCCATGTGCTCCAAGATGGAGACTCTCATAGTTTAGAGTTAGGACCGCACTATAAGAGGTGCCTTGGCGCGGCAGTGCGGCTTACACATCCTTTGCAGAAGACGTGTATCCAAACCTCTGTCATTGTCCTTAGTGGTGAGAAAAGTTGTTTTACATGCTGGTTTGTGAGTGTGCCATGATGCCTTTCTACTGTACCACAGGTCAGAACACTTCACATATATAAAACACCAGGGAATATGTTGTTGTATTGGAAATTATTGCAGACCATGTATCCCAATGATTAAAGGGGAATGCTCTACAAGAACCAATAAAACCAATAGCATGAGCTTTACGTTGCTTCTGTATTCATGTGTTGAGTACATGCTAGGAAGCCATTGTAAAAACATTGCAGGGAGGCACATGTAGATAACACACCACATGCAGGCAAAATACGATTTATATGCCAATCTAATTCTCATTAAAAATGTATTTTCAGACTCTCTGTAGAAGTCTACAATATATTTATTCTAGCTTGCAATCTACAACAAGTTACCAGACTTGCCACAACTGTGTAGTTTAGCAGGCTCAACCTCCAATTGGCCCATGTAACCACATTGAAAGTTTAGGTCTTGCCATATAAATTGTATAATAGCTCTTTGCTGTTTGTGCATTTTATTCTAGTTCTGCCAATAATAGGTCACCTTTACTCTGTTTTACTGGCTTTTTAATTACTAGTGATGATAAAGGTTAAGTTTAATGACTTGGAATAAAAAGACTTCTTAGAACTGTGGACATAACATTATTCAGAATATGCAATTCACACACCATTGTGGTCTCTATGGAATTTACATTTCTTTATGACTCTTGACCTTTTTCTATTTTTTTTATTACACAATTCCCAGCACAAAGCTATTTAACAGATCTGGTGACTATAATCTGTACTTAAACCGCAATAAAAATGTAACAGACACAGAAAGAAGACTCAGAGTCTTTTTCCTCAAGATAAAAATATGGGTACACCCCAGTATCCTAGTGTCCCAAAAAGGTAAAAACCAAAACAGAAAATGAAATGCACACTAAATGCAATTTCAGATTGCCACACAAACCATGATCTTGTTTGAATGTTGAACACGAATACAGTACCAGTAAGAGAAAAACTGGTAAGGGGAACTATGACTGCATGTGTGCTGTGCTCTGGTATTATTATTCAGGATTTATACATCGCCACAGTTTGCGCAGCCCTTTACCATATAAGGAAGACATTACAATCAAAATACAATTCAAGACAAGATGGTAAGGAGGGACCTGCCCGTGAGGGCTTACAGTCTAAAAGGTATTAACTAAATGCATACATGAATGGGGCACTGTGCAAAATGTATTAAATATATACTGTGTGTAATGAAACATTTACTGAAATGTTGGCACTTTAATCATTATACATTTTTTAAATTCAAAAAAGGTGCTTTTATAGTATACCTCATCCCTTTAAGATGTACAGAAATACAAATCTCAGAAGTTGGACACCACTAACATAGCAAATGTGCACATCCTATTTATGGACCTTTGCTTTTTTTCTGAAAACTCACAACTTACAGGGTTATTCACAAAAGGGTGAAGAGTTTGGAAAAGGCAGGAGAAGTGAACAATCTAGGACAACATAGCTGAACTGGAAAGTGAGCTGAATTGGAGAATTTTTCCAAATCCGCTATTTTGGCCTAGATTGTTCACTTCTCGCTTCTACAAACTCTTGACCCTTTTGGGAATAACCCTGTTAGAATATTTAGTGCTCTTTAACATATCAGATGGGTGTTACTTGCATTCCTGTGGCAACCCCCTTTCTACAAACCTATAGGCTTTAACAATTGCGAATTTGTGTAGATTCAGGTAGAATGTGGTAGACAACCTCTAACCACTGACATATCTACTGATCACACCAAAGAATTAAGTGTACAACTACATGTGTGTCTGTTTAAAATGGAACAGTAAATGAATAGCTAGGGAATGGAGGAGTTGTCTATGGCCTGTAGAACTTGTGAAATAAACCTATAAAAAAAGCTAGTAGGGTGGCTTAAGATCTTTACAGCGCTCTATTGCAGCATCAAGCCAAAGAGCCTTCTAGATCACTATCAGCAATCGGATAACGACCTGGATCAATATACCACCATGGACTTAATGAGTTTACATAAAGTATTATGGCATGCATTCTTACATGTAAATGGACATTTTAAGCCTTCTGACAGTACTGTGTCTTGTCACGTTTTGATAAGGGTTAACAATCACCGTGTGCGTGTTTTATATGGAGAAAACTGCTTTGCAGTTTTCTTTAGGACTGGTAAACCCTGGTCAGAGTCCTTGGACCCTGAGGCTTTGTAGTCACTTTGGTGGGATGAAGCCTCCAACCCTGGATTAATGTTTTGGTACTAACCAGCAACCATTGATTGTTCAGCTGTGCAGAACTTTTAAAGTGTAGATCTACTTTCACAGCCAAGTTGGGATAACACCTGTTTTATGTTTGTTACATGTCATCACTCACATGGCATAAGCTAAAAGATTAAAAAATGCTTCTTGCAGTATAAATTGCTTTACTTGGGTTAGAGTTTAATGGCTTCTTAAGGTTTAAAATGTCTACTTGCTTGTACTCGTTGTACTGTTAGGAGGGGCTGAAAGGGTGAGGAGTTAAAGGATTACAACCCTGGCTTTCACATTCAAATGTTAATTAAGTTAATAGAAATACAATCCTCAAATTTCAGTCTAAGTCTTTTTATAAGGACAGATTACTGTGAAGGTGTTCAGAAAAACCTGGAATCAGTCACGTTGCCTGCTGCAACAAAACATCTAAAAACGTAAGACAATAATAAAAATAAAAAAGTTCGATATGCTGTGTGAATAGGAACACAGAGGGGTTTTCTATAATTTGACACCAAAAGTGGAAATACACTAAGGTATTTAGCTAGTGTATAAGGGATCCACCTGGGAGACAGACAATGTCTCTGCCCAGGAGTAATGAGGGCACCACCCAAGAGCTAGGGTTGAGGCCAGTGCAGCATGCAGCTGAAAGGTCTGTACTGAATGTAGCTCAGCAGGGTGTCTGGAAAACTGTCTGGAGGAAACAGACAAGGGCTTGAAGTGCTACAAGAGCAAAGCTGAAGTATTTTGTTTTGTGAAGAGAGATGGACAACCCCCAAAAAGGGCAACTGCATTATTGTTTTAGATTTTTCTCTTTATAAAAGTAGGCAAGGAAGCCCTAAAAAGGAGATTAAAGCGAGTGGATGTGTACTTAATGCTCTACTATTTGAAGCAAGCTCCCACAGCATGTATGTACTTATTTAAGCATAATGCAGAGTAGGTGCATTCAAGTACCTTAACTATTAACAAAAATGTATCTTATTAGTGTATCACTCAGCTGTAGAAACCTCAAATCATCTCTGAATTTATACTGACACTGTCCTTCCTTCTGGAGGGTGGCTATCTTTGTTCTCCATGGCCCTGTGTGTGTCGTAAAGTAGCCACCGCTCCAAGCTCACTCCCGTGATGGACTACAATCTCAATACAAATTAGTAAACTAAACATGAGATTGTAGTACATCACAGGAGTGAGCTTGGAGTGGTGGCTACTTTACAACACACACAGTGACCATGGGGAACAAACGTAGCCACCCTCCAGAAGGACAGTGTTCGAACCAATTCAGAGATGATTTGAGAGATACACAAATGAGACATTTTTGTTAATCGTTAGGGTACTTGAATGAATTTTTAAGATTTGACTCCTGAGTTCAGTGTAATCTTAATAAGTGCCAATGCAAAAAAAAAAAATGCACAAGGCAGCAATTTTTAAAAATGTAGTCCAAGTGAACAATGTTTTCGAAAACGCATGCATTTTACTGTAAAAAAATGGTCAGGCAGAACTGACACAGTATCTAGCACTGCAATGACTGCAACAGGCTCATAGAAATGACTGCATTTTCCTTTAAGAAAATAGTACAGATGCATGTGAAAGCTGCAACACAGTTTTATAGCACATATACGTTTGAATTTTCTTTGTGTTTATGTGATAGATCGTAATATAGTTAGAGAAATATTGGAGGTCTTCTTTTGGCATAACACATTCATGCGCTACCATATATTCCTATGAATATAAATTTCTATGAATATAAATTAAACATTTTTTATCCATAAATAGTACCATTGTGTCCTCTGCAGTGACCTTAAACTAACCAATTTGCCAGTAAATCCTCTATATATGCCATTAATATTTGATCATTATGCATCCCTTCCATGCTGAAAATTAATTTAGGCACTCTTCCATATACACTAAGTGAATTACATTTCTTTGCAGACTAGGGCCCCAAACTAAACCTCATATTGAAGATGAGATCACCCTAACACCTGATAGAAAAGAAGAACAATGCCTTGCTCCAAACATGAGCCTGTGCATCTGTATGCAGGAAAGCAGAAGAGGAACATCAGTTTAACAGACTTTTAAGTTATCCCTTTTATACACTTTGCATTAATACAAATTTTCAGACATGTTTTCAGAAATACATCTTCTGTCTCCAGGGGCTCACCTGTTATCATTCAACTGAGTGTATCGGGGCTGTGGATCTGGATCTTGGTCATTGACATCATAACTGGCAGCAGGATCCTAAAGCAATACAATTGTAAAAGAAAAAAAAAAAATTATCCACAATAGAAACCTCGTCAGTTAAAGTGACAAGCACATACATCACTTGCCCTTATCTCCACTAAACCAGATCATTTGTTTTTCTTTCTGCAGACAGGTGTAAAAGAATCAAGATATCCAACTGCATTCAGTTTTTCATCAACCTAATGGTTCTTTCCTAATAAATTTCAAGTGCACTGCAGCAAGTGCTTTTCTCGAGCAGACCGTGGCGGCGCAGATCAATAATCAGTTCCCTCTCTCTTCCCCCTTTTCTTACAAAGTAGATGAATGTCTAACCATGCATTATTGAGCTGTTCATTAAACACACATGCCGAGAAAATAAATTACAAAAAAAAAGTCTTGCAAATGTCCATTTACTACAGTAGGTCAAAGAAACAGTAAAACCAATTTCACAGCAAGAGTCGCAGTGGAAAATCCTACATGTCTTAAACGTATCTGCTTATGTGACTCATTAAATAAAACAGGATTTTTGTACTCGTCATAAAAAAAGTTCATTGAGGGACGCAGGAATGTATTTGGGTTATACTACTGTCTACTGGAGGATATAGACACTGGCAAACCACAAAACAGTGGCCAGCCTGGTATAAAATTCCTCCCACCCCACTCCCAGCATGCCTCAGTTTTGTAACAAAGCAGTGCCAAGAACACACTCGTTTTTTGATTTTTTTTATACAGGAGTATGACATGTGGGATGTCAAAAAGCAGTCCAACTGAGTGTCAGGCAACACAACAAAAAAACCAAAAAAAAAAACCAGGCCCAGCTAAAAAATAAACTAGCGACTGCCTGCACCTCAAAAAGCCGCTCGAAGGATGTTGAGCTCAAAGCTGGCATCAGAATAGGCCTGGAAATCCACCTGGTAAAATACTTAGGGAAGGAATGCACAGAAGACTAGGTGGCAGAATTACAAAACTGGGGAAACCGTTGCCCAATGCCGAAAAGCCCAAGAAGCACTCACAGATGTAGTAGAACGTACCTCGACAGCGAAAGGTGGTACCCAATCCGTAATAGGGTTGAATTATGATTTGTCTGAGCCACCAAGAAATAGTGGAGCAAGAAGTCGATTACCCTTTTTAGGGTTACCATCAGGTATAACAAAAAGAAAGTCAGACTTTCTAATAGAAGCCGTGGCTGAGATGTAGACATGCACAGCTCAAACTACATCCAGATAATTGGGGGGAGAAACCTACTGATGTACTGGAGGTGGATATAGGGAGGGCAGCACAATGTCCTGGTTAAAGGGACATTAAAGTAAAAAAAAATGTCCCCTCCCCAATGTTAATGTTAGCACTTACCTTAAATGTATCTTAATCCAATCTTCCTCTTTCCTGATGTTTTCATCTGTCCCTCCAGTGGGAGGGACAGATGGTCTTGCTGGCACTTCCTCTGGGCTTGCTGGCACTTCCAATCCCGCGGTGTCTGCATGCGGGTGCACGCGTCCATAGACTTACTTTACGTCTCCCACCCGAAAATCCGAACTGCGCAAGAGCCCGTCCCAGGATGCTTTGCGGCCGCCCGCGCAGTATCGGATTCTCGGGCGTGAGCGCATGGCGAACACAGGGTAAGTTTAAACCACTGTTAAAGCAAAAAAAAAGGGAGGGTTTAGAAACCCTTTAAGTTGAAAGGTTGAAACCACTCTGGGAAGTAAGGAGGCTCTAAGCATTATAACTTTAATACTTAATCCTTAAGGTGGGGATTACAAAGGTCGTAATCAAAGAATGAGTGGCCAACAGTCTTTGGCACAAGAACGCAAGTGCTGAGATGTGACCCTTACTAGTACTTAAAGTGGCACTAAACTCAGGGTAGCTTATTTGCACATCACTCAGCTGCAGATCTATCAAATCATCTCTGAATTGCTGCCGGCACTGTTCATCCTTCTATAGGGTGGTGGAAGTCAGTGTACTGAGCTTCGAAATGTAATTGTGAATGTGAAAGTTTTGCTGATTATAGGGCCCCTCAAGGCTGGTTCACCCCTTTTTACACGTGGATTTGGTTGCGCAAAAAAAACACACATTTTCGATGCTGTCCATTCACACCTTAGCATTGGGTCGCACGAAAAAGATGCAGGAGCTTTTTTCAGAGGGAAGACCCACGGTTTTGGTCCCATAGACCTCTCTATGCAGGGAAAACCACAGATTTTTAAAAGCATAAACACGCAAAGAAAAAATCATGTGAAAACAAGCAAAACTGCAAATGCCTAGGGGTGAACCTAGCCTAAGGGACCCAAGACTAGTGGCAGTACTAAAAGAAGTTACAGGTTCCACCTCCATCCTTATGTGGGCACTCTCTGCATCAGTAATATCTGAAATATGTCTTTCTAAGCCTGGGAGTTATGGCCACTGCCTGACTGACAACATTTATGAAGGATTTAGGAGACGCTAGTCAGATAAAACAGCAAAAGGTTTCCGAGCACACTCACCAGCCAGCATGCAAAAAAAACCTGTCTAACCGCGAAGGACGTGTATCTAAAACCTCTTTTTTTAACCTTAGCGGTTAGACAGCTTTTTTTGCATGCTGGCGAGTGTGCTGGGAAACATTGTGCTGTCTAACCTCCTGCCGTCCGCCCGTTGAGAAAAAAAACGGACAGATGACTCCCATTGGCGGGTTTCCCAGTAGCGCGCACGGGCAGGAAAGACCCGTACATTCAGCACAGCTGTTACCGGCTTTTTCTCATACAACCGATCAGCGGCTCTATAGCCGCCGATCGGTTGTATGTGGTGTTTTGAAGTGCAGCCAGCCGCCCCCACCCCCCCATAGCATAGGAATTTTCTATGCTCCTTGGCTCAGTTTAGTGGAGGGAATGGTGTGTGAACAGCATTTGCCCAACATATAGCTGGGTGAAGAGTTATAAATGATGCCCTATTCATATCTAAATTAGGTAAAAAGTACAATTTCAGGACAAAAGGGTTTTTTTTGGTGAAAAATACAAAACAATTTCATACATGCATACATAACCTAGGAGCCATTCCTCCCATACCTCCTCTGCGAGTCATGGCTGTTACCGATGTAAGACACATGAAAGGCATAGCTCCCAATGATCCTAAAGCAGAAGTAGACACCACAGGTGTGGTGAAACTACAAATCCCACCATGCATCTTCCTCTGGCAATCATGCCTGTGGCTGTCAGTCTTGCAATGTCTAATGAGATTTGTAGTTGCACCATAGCTGGAGGGCTGGAGTTTACCTACAGCTGTTCTAAAGGGTTATTACTCCCAAAATGTATTTCAGTTTTATATAATTGTTGGGGAGTTAAAAATCACCTGAAAAAAATGTGCATCTCTTTCAGAATCTATTTGTGATATATTTTGGTCTGCACACTTGATGTGACCCTTATGAGGGACATCCCTCATTGTTTCTATGCATTTATAATGGGAAAAAAACAAAGTGCTGGAACACAAAACATCCAAAACTCCCAGGTTAGAAATTATGGCAGGGACGTCTTGCTATTGGATTATCTTAGATATAAGACAGGGACTGATTTACCACCATTCGCCTCCCCCTCTCTCCTCCACCCCCCAGCGCCACCAATAACTAGAATAATTTTTGGGTGGAAAAACCCAAACTAAGGCAGTCCTAAAAACACACAAAATATTTTTTACAGATCTCCCAAATTAGCTAGTTACATTTTAAAATCTAAACCTAAAGCATGGTGCAGCACTGGGGGTCCCTGGTTCAAATCCTGGTCTGGTCACTATCTGCAAGGGGTTTCCATGTCCTCCCTGTGCTTGCGTGGGATTCCTCTGGGTACTCCAGTTTCCTCCCACACTCCAAAGACATGCTTGTAGGTTAATTGGCTCCTGTCTAAATTGGCCCTTCTATGTGTGCATGTGAGAAAGGGACCTTGAGGGCAGGGACTGATGTGAATGTAAAATGCTGTGTAAATACCTGAATAAATAAATACAATTTTTTATCCTAGAGAAGTTTGAGTTTTTTCTTTAAACTTGCTGGCTAATCACATAGCAAAGCACACAGAATGACATGATTTTGCCCATTTCTCCTGCAGTTGTCTTGCTGGTTCTCAGGCTATAAACACTGCTTTCACTCACGTAATTTCCTTGTAAATCAGGGTGATTTTTCTCAATTCCGTCATCCAGGATTGAAACCACAATGCCTTGGCCAGTGTATCCCTGCTCCCAGGCTTCTTTTACATGTAAGTCATGACGGCTTGCATCATACTGAAAAGCAGAGGACAAACGGTTAGCGGCACTTCCACGGAAATCTCTTGTTTTCCCTACAGTGATGAGTCCAATTACTTAGAAGCACAACCATACCGTTCAAAAACATGTGCTGCTGTGAGGCATGATAAAAAAAACAAGTATTACAAACAATTTTATTACATATCTTATGTTGATCCCTTTTATAGACCCTCTTTATACATTCCCAAAGTGTACGTTTAATGACAGATTGTAATAGTTTTGATATTTACAAACAGGCACAGGATTTAATAAGTGACATATACCAGTTTTTGTAAAGATGGCCATGAACTGTCCAAATTTTGGCCGGTTCTTGATGATCAGGTGATCAAAAGAGCCAGTTGGAAAATCTTCAAACGAACAGAGTGGGCAGCCAATGAGCTACCGGCTGTGTTCCGGTACTCCCAATGGGTCTTTAATGCAATGAAGACAGCGGTAGATTCCTCGATCAACGGTCGTAAGTGTTGATGGAGGAATCTGTTATATTTTCTTTGCTCGCAGCCCGCAGCTTGAAGGAAGAAATATTACAGCGTATGGCCAGCTTAAGGTTGCAAACAAAAGAACTAAAGGTATTACCTACCAGGGCATGGTCTGGTGCCAGTAGGATTAGATTATCTCGGGTTCTAGCCTCCTAAAGTAAACCTGTGCTTAGATCAAGTAGGGAAATTTAAACAGTTCCCTTTAATGGCAACTACCCTTCTCTATACAATCACTTTCCCTCCCCTAGCATCAAAGAGAAATACCGGTTGCTTTATGCGACTTTTTCCAGCAGCAAAACTTCTAGTTCCTCCCTGAAAGTAGATGCATGACACTGCTGTGGCATTGCAGCCGAGTTGTCCAATATTAAAGCAAAACGGAGGCAATATATAGATATAAATATATATAATAAAAACTGCGCCAAGCTCATGCAGGGGAAATCCCAGGGTTAACCATAGGCCTGGAGAGTATTCTGCAGTAGACAAGCACAGTACTAGAGAGTGCCACATGCAGAACTCCCTAGGAAGTCTTCAGGGAACAGGATCACAGCAGAGGCTGTGCCACAGTCATGGACATGTAAAGCACTCTGCATCTAACACACCAGTGCTCTAGGTGTCTGGGGAGCAACACAAGCAGAGCTGAGTGCCTGAGGGTCACAATACAGGCAAGCCCCAGAATCTTTGGTTGGGCGGGGTCCAGGTATGGCTTCCAAGGTAGCACCAAGGATTAGTCTATCTGGAAAGCTTCATAATGAGCCCAGATCAGAAGCATAACAAACTTTTGATTAAAGAAAAAATGTATCTTGATAAAAAAGTAATAACAAAAAAAAAAAACAAATCCAGTTAAAATGGATAAACTTTTCTCCTGAGGAAAAAAAAAAAAAAAAATGATGTCTATTCTCCTAGGACACGAGCAAAAAATTGAAGCATTTTGGAAGTGGTTATATCCGCTGTCTAATGTCTATTTTTGCTACCAGTGTCCAATGCCTACTGTAGGCAGCTGTATAACCCAATTGTCTCGGAATATTCCCAATCCTGTATCCCTTTACTGAAAGATGCATTTTTTAAATGGTATTTTTAAACTTTATTTTACAATAATTTAACACAGGCTGTACCCATGAAACTCTGCTTGCAGAGGATGCTGGTCTTTCTAATCAGCCTAGAATTGCCTGCATGCACGTCTGTAAACAGACTAAATACAGTCCAGTCTTTAATATCAAAAAAGGAATTGAGGCATGTCTTTCCTTCAAGTCATGTATGTTTGTAATTGGATCTTTCCTGCCATTTAGATCTGTTTCTATACATGAACCTGTATACACAGCTGTTCTGCTGGTTCTTGCCACCTGCTGGCTGTAAAATGCAAATTTGAAATATCTATATTCAAGATTTCATATACCATGTTAAATTTTCATTACAGAACACAATATAGAAAATATATTAAACACTATTCATGCCTTCCCCTCAAAGATACCAAAATTAAATTGTACACAACACTGAGTTTGTCTGCAAAAGGCTCACATATACAGCATTTTAGTACATGTCTATAGTTCCTCCACAGCAAAATATGAACTTACTTTCACACTTTACAATATAAAATTTGCAAAAACAGTACAGTGATTATGGCGGCAAAGTCGGTCCTATAACCTATTTACCAAATATCCAATTTAACCTTAGACAAACAACTTTTGTAGGTTTCTAGCCTCAAACAAAGGTAGGTTGTGTTTCTAAGCAATCAATGTTGAAACCCACATGAAAATATGCCAGTTATCTAAATTCACAAGACATATCTATATAAAGTACAAGACATTTGATAGTAACACAGATGACAGTACAAGAAAAGGAGACTCTACACTGCTTTAGGCTCAAATTGAAGCCATTCCTGGAATATTCAGTGTGACGTCTAGGAAAAAGCTTTGGCAATGTGTGTTTTGTATGTGGAATTGCCCAGAGTATTTGAAGGCACGGGATGAGAGTGATATTTTTAGCTTACAAAAGGTAATTATAAAAAAAAAATGTATGCATTTACTAAAACCTACTGAACCCTGCCATTATAGAATTTATTTCTACTTCTCAGAATATATTTAGGGGTACATTTTACAACCTAAGTGGTTATCAGTCACAGGCTTCATTTATCCCAAACACATCACTGCTACAAATCGTATTTTAATCCCATTATTGCTAGAGGGAGTTATTTTGCCCATTAAGTTAATAGTATTAACATGAACGCGTGTCCTGGTAGGAGCAAAAGTAGCTGAGCAAGCAAGCCTAACATCTATACCCCAATTTATGAAGCGTAAACCTGAGCAATGTGCTCTCAACTAAGGCGTCTCGTCCCCTTGAGCTGGAAATTTTAGACAATGGAAATTTATTACATTTTATAACCATTCTAAAATGATTAAAAAGTTAGGACATTGGTCAAGGTCAACACTATGTAAGACATTGCAAGACAAAACAGAGTTGAAGAGTCATCAGGATCTTGATGTAGTCTAGATAAGACCTACATTCTGAACAGTGAGCTGTCACTCTATAACCCTGACTGTTAAGTAGCCCCTAGCTCCACCAAAGCCTTGTAATTTTAGCATTTAATCACAAAATGCCCTATGTAGCTGTTGTAGAGGTTTTGTATTAATTTACATAGCACCAAATAATTCTGCATTCCCTTAGGGCCCCTTCACACTTTGCAGATCTTGTGTGCTGCGTCAACTCATTTTTTCCCCAACACAGTGCATTACCGTGTGCTGTAGTGCCCTGCTACATACGTGCATCAAAGTGCATGGTGGGGGGGGGTCATCCAAAGTGAATTGCACTGCAATGAGCTAATGCACATAATGTGCAATAACATTTGTTGTATTAACACGCATTACTACAATGCCCCACATTACAAAAATGTGAATTGGCCTTCGCAGTATACATATGTCATTCACAGTCAGTCCTTGTTCTATAGCACCGTGCAATGTAAAGGCCTTATTCGATGGACATGAGGAAGCACACAGTCATTTTTGCAGGTTTGCTTATAAATGTGGAAAAAATACAAAAAGGCACATGAAGTGTAAAAAGGAATATTTTGAATACAATGATTACATGCATTAAATATAGTTACCAAAATAAAGCAGATGTAGCCTAGAGTCAAACCTAGGCATTCACGTTTTCAGGCTTTTTTTTTTAAAAGCATTTTTGAACATTTATATGGGTGTTTTTCAAGCATTCAGCTTCAGGAGTTTTCCTACTTTGCCCAATAGAAAGCAGTAGTTTGTGTGACCTCGTGCACGGAGCGCCCCAAAAATGCTCAAGTGCTTATGACCTGCATTTTAAAGGGCCTAAAAGTCTAATGGGACAAAAACACTCAAGTCTGCATGAAAAGAAGCTCATATACTTTTTCAAGCAATAGGCATTTTGCTACAAATTACAGAACACTTAGAGATTCCTTGTGCTGAGCGTTTTGAAAATTTCAGCTAGGGGTGAATGGGGTCTCAGGGTAATTTTTTTTAACTTGGACTTTATATTCGTAATCTTCACAAAATATTTATCAGGAAATAGTTCTGCATAAGTGCCAGTAATAGAAAGGAAGAGTTATAAAGTGAAACATTTGACACAACCTTATGAAGTTAGGTTACTCAACTAAAATGGAATATTTTTAAAAATATTTTTCAATAAACATAAAAAATATTAAATATACATTTAAAACTTTATATTTCCTTTAAAAAAGCATTTCTCAACCGTTTTTCAGCCACAGCACCATTTAAAAATATGCAAAATCTTGAGGCACCCCAGCCTAAAATGTAAAAAAACAATGTGTGGTCCTTCCAAGGTCCATACCAGACTCTTATCCCAGATAGAGGTCTGGTATGGATTTAAGGAGTGACCCCTTCCAAAAACTTTAAAAAATGTGGGGGTTCCCCATTCAAATCAGAGCCCCCTTCCCCCCCACATCAGAGCACCTCTTTACATCAAGAGTCAACCCTCTCATGCTAGCAGTCCCTCTTTCACATTAAAGGCATGATGCGGTGTGAAAATCTCCAGGCACCCCTGAGGAAGCCAAAAGACACTCAGGGTGCCACGGAACCCTGGATAAGAAAGGCTGCTTTAAGCCAAGAATTTCAGTGGACCCTGTATCTGTCTGTATCCCAGTAAAAAAAAAAAAGAAGTGCCTGGTGCGAATAAACAAAATACATTTAATCCCAGGATGTTGGTGCTAAGAGATCAGTATACAGAACTAGGGATGGCAGTGCCCATTTCCAACTACAATTCATGTCTTACGTTATCCATACATTACCAGCAAAAATCAGGCAAAATGCCTAGCATCAGTAATTACAACAGATTTCCATCTTTTCAATCTAACTTGAAACTCAACAAAGGGAAATAAAAATGAAGAAAGAACTACTAATGTCCACCAGAGGACATTCAATCACAGCAATAAGTAATTTTTGTTCCCCTCTTGCATACCTCTTTGCTTATGTCTTTGCAGTTCCTTTAACCTAATTTAACCTGACTTCTCTGCAAGCCAGATGTTTTCTGTTCTCCCAGGAACGCTTACAATGTTGGCATAGTAATCACTAAGGATAAGGCACAGAGCACATTTTCATTTTAATGGGAAAAACTTAAAAAATGTGCATTCAATGGCTTTGCTGTCTCACAAGGGATACGCATATTTTCTGATAAGCATTTTCTGGCAGAACAAGTGCAAAGTCAGTGGTTCATAGACTTTTTTCACCAATTGCATGATGCCCAGTGGGCGTGAAATTCAACCTCTGTGAGCTAAATTTATGTCCCTTTGTTAGATGGTGTAGGTCAAGGCACATAATTCAGCCAGGGCACTGTCTCCGATAATGGGATGAAATTATCACTCAAATATAAAAGACCTGTAATCCTTTATAAATTATATACATAATACACCCACACATAAGCAATTGTGGGGGCAGCTATAGACAATTGATGATCTGGCTCTTGAAGCTGAAAACTGTGGCAACATTTTTATAGCGTTTTCACTCAGCCTGTAGAGGTTTACATTATATATGCAAATGGATAGATGTATCCGTAAAAAATCAATTCAGTGGTACGCTTAATGGTGAAAAAAACATGTACCTTTAAACGATTGAATGAAAATGAAATACTCTATATTATACGACTTTCCCTATCACCATGACAAAGGAAATTCAGATAACACAATGACTTATCTTTGCAGACACAAGATTTTAATAAAATGTCTTAGTTATTATTAAACCTCCCTAATAAAATAATAGCTTATAGAATGGTATTTAAATATTAAGTAATGAGGACTGTCATCACAATATTGTATGAGTTATTCTGTGACAGCAGGAGGAGAGTTGTCAAGCAAAGTGAATTGTACATGCCCCAAGGGCTCCCGATTCAAGGGTAAGTACTGGTCCCGACTCTAACAGGAAAATCACTTACTGCTAAACACCAAACAATGACGTGTTGCCAATCATTTACAGTAGAGCATATTGAGTGTTAGAACAGTTTGGAAGGACACTTTCCCATGCAGCACTGAGTGATCAGTGTGAACCTGCCCTTGGCTGATTCACTGTGAACAACAAATTAACGGCACCACCTGCTGGCCAGTGAGCATATGCAAGTTTGTTGGCCAGAAATAAGATGGGGAAAGGGGGGTGAGAGACGGCAAGTAAGCACACAAGTGGACACCGGATGCAAACCCCTCACTGGAGGCCCACTATAGTTTTGCCACATTACTTCCAAAATGGGAATTGTGTAGTTTCCCAAGAACTTCTGTCAAGTAAAAGGAAACCAAGAACATGTTAAAATTACAGAAAGAATAAAAGATGTTAAGATAGCAAACTACATACCAGATACCACTGTGATGTGAATTTGGGATCCGTTGGTTCTGTAATAATATCTCTTTTTCTTCTTTTCTTTGCCACCTGTTGTTCTGCCCAGTGTACCTATAAAGAGACAGATTGTTATACAAAAACACATTTCAGGGAAAGCTTCTCTTATAAGTTTATGTAATGTAAATATAAAATTATGTTTTGCAGAGATGGACACATTAATGAGACCGTCGGGTCGGGGCTACACTTCTCAATACCACGAACAACCAGGAAGTACAGGATATCCACACGCTGCCTGTGAGCGGCCGATTTATTCGTTTTTAACTGACTACTTTTTTTTAAATAAATGTTTATGTCGACTACACTGAGGTTTTTATTTTTGCTAAATACTGATTCATGTGACGCTGATGAGACGGCTGCTGGGACTACTTATCGGCTTCTCATCTCTTTTGCCTACAAACACCGTGGGTCTGGTGAGTGCGCATCCCAGAGGGGAATTCTGTCGTGGACACTTGGTGTGGGAAAAAGATTAAGCTTTTGTTTGAAGCTTGTTTTCATCATCAATACATCATATATACTTGGATTCTATAATAGTTTCGGACTCACTTGGTGATTGATCACTTTATTGATGACTTTGAGCTGATTTGTTATTTATCACTTTTTTTTGATATTTTTTGTATTTGATGCACATTTGATTACAACAAAGAATTTTATAATAAGGTATAATTTAATGCACTTTTGCACAAAGTGAAATTTGGTATTCATCTATTTATTTCACTGGCTATCACTTTAGTATGTTAATAATGATTGCAAACACCTATTTAATTTTTTGATTACATGTTGTGTTGTTAACACTTAATTACATTTTTGATAGTTCACCCTAGTGGTGACCCCAAGCGCTGCACACCCATCTATATACAATTTGACCTCAGTGTCCCGAGCGCAGCAGCAAATGATAAAACATTATTTATATGATATGACCTTATATGATGATTTGAGGGCACACCCAGAAAAGTTATTTTCATGCCTCCGTATGTCTATTGAAAAGGTATTTATGTACGGTGTAGCACGGTGGATTGGCGAGTATTGCATACTGTTTACATTTTCCTCACTTTTTTTTGCGTTGCGTCTTACCACGTTTCACAGCGTTTTTCGTGCGTTCAGTCACGTTCTTATGCAGCTAAAATAGTGCAGGCTGTTCTTTTTCTGGCAGCATCGGAACAGTCTGGTGTGAACGGAACAGCATAATCCCATGGGAAATCATTGTGTTGCGTTTTTGATGCAGCTCAAAAATGCAACGGACTGCATCTGGTGTGAATGGGCCCTAAGGGTCAAGAAACAAACCTTGTCCTTTGTCAATGGTTGAAGCCATGATCAAAATTTAGGCCCTAGTGGAACTTTCACAGCCACATGTGCCAACCAGCAACTATCCAGTCCAGTTTAAATATTACTACATTTTCACTTATTTTAACTTAATTAAAACTTCAAATAGAACTCTAGCCAGAACTCTGTTTAGTTACAAATAGAGTAGGAATGGGTTAGTAACACTGTCAAGTGTATATTTTTGTCCGTCTTGTCCCAGTGATGGTGGCCATTGGGACATGGAGATTAGTAATGGAGCAGAAACGCTTTTTTTTTATTATTTGCTATTATCCCTGCTGGCAGTTGGTAATATCTACAGACCGGGGGTGGACAAATTGATACAGGATCCAGAAGCCAGATCCACTGGCAACTAGAGAAAGCATCAAATGTTAGGCGTCAGCTGTAATGTTTGAGCATTGGCTACCAGGCTCATGGGATTTTTTCTATAGACACACAGAACATGAGAAATGATAATCTAAAGTATGGATCAGGAAAAATTCAATATTTCCCCTCCCTCATCTACAGTACTGTGGCTTTACCAGGAAATCTACAATTTGATAAGATTTACAAGGAAATGTTCCACTTGTGTCGCTACCTGCCAGTGAAATATGATAACGAAGGGAAACCCAAAAATACAATAGTCCTATATGGCCGTCATAATATTTCATTGCTCACACTCCAGACGTCTTTTTACCTGCTGATTCGAGAACTGTAATAACTGGGTATGCCTTTATGAAGTTATGAATCACAGGATTAAAAAATGTTCTTTTGGCAATCCCTTATAATATTAACAATCATTAGGTGAAACTGGTTATCTGTGACAATGGTTCTCAATCAGTGATGTACCAGGGGGTTCTTTCTGACAGCTTCAAGGGGAACTTACACTTGTTAAAATAACTATCATAAAAGGTTTAGCACTCTGGCAAGAGTCATTACCCGCTGCCCAGCTTCCCGATTGGCCAGGAAGCCGGCTCCATGTTTCCTCGCTGCACTGCCATGTGGTCTTGCTGCATCTAATATTGTTTGGCTTGTGTTGGTGTGACAATTCACATAGAAGTCATGAATATGTATATGAATTTGTTGATATCGACAAGACCTTCTCCTGACTGGTCTTATTTTTACTCCATACTGAGAAAAGTGTCAAGAGTGTTTCTAAATTTGGTCAGCAATAGCAAGACTGCTATTGGCGATTTTAATTTGAAATGGCCAGTAGCAGACTTGCTATTGGAACCCCACCCATTGAGCAGAGGAGTAGACCTGGAGAGAAAGTCTCTCAGTTCTGCTCCTATGCTCAGTGGGCAGGTGCAAAAGCCAGCCTGCTAATGGCTTTTGCAATTTGAAATAGACAGGGGGACACTGTGGCGATGGTGGGGGTACCAGTGGTCGAGACTGCGCCCTAGGCAGCAGTGCACCCTAGGCAGCTGCCTAGTTTGCTTAGCGCCGGCTTGCTAATAATGCCACTACAGATGAAGTATGATAATTTGTTGTTGTAAAATTGTCAGCACTATGTAAAATACCTGTAATGTCAATAAATAAAAGTAACCCATGTGTATGTGAGGTGGTATTTCAAAAACAACATTTTGATGTTCTGATCAGATGTACAAACTGAATCCTATTCTATGGCATATGGAGTAATAAAATCAGCGAAAAAAACAAACAAAAAATCACTTGATCTTGGTCTTCCATTCCCTCTAAACCTTCTATAAAGTGATCAGACTTGATTCAGGTTAATGCATTGAAATCAAACAATGAATCCAGATATGCGATTGAATTGAAAGCTTAGGGGGAAAAAACAAAAAGTTTGTGCAGCATTAAAGCCACCACTGGGGCAGAACCTTAGGTAAAGGTTTCAATGTAATCTATACAGTGCTGTGGATTATGCAGGTGCATTATAAAGGAATATAACAAGAATAGTAGAAAAAAAAAACACAAATCACAGGGTATCAACAAAACAAAAAAAACAAACCATCTTTGAAATAACTGAAAGCAGACAGCCAATTTCCCAGGCAATTTATCCATTCATCGCTGTCATAGTTGGGACAGGGTAGAGGAAGGAACACAATCCATATCAGGAGATAAAATGCAGTGTTCTGTGCAAGGGCTGCAGATAAACTACTGCCATTTATAGAGTCATTTGAATGAAAGAAACTGCAATGAAGAAGAGAAATGGAGACACTAACTGTACCAGCTCAACTGTGGCTGTCAGCCTGCTTACTAAATCTCTGCACAGTGAAATTGCATAACCTTGAAGAGATTTCAGTTAATGTGACCCGTGTTAGGTGGTGACAGGCCCGATAAACTGCAGACGCAAGGCACGCAAAGTGACATTGGTGGGACCAGATGCAGCAGGTTGTGGGGAGGAAAAAAAAAAAAAGGAACTGCTCAGTGTAACTAAATTATTACTACATCTCGCGCTCACTTCCTTGGAACCACTCAAAACACAGTGGCTGAATGTTTCCAAATCATCAACAGTGCTCTACTAAAGCAAAACCCTTGACAATCTACAATTACCATACCGCTGGAGACACAGGCAGACCACAAAATCAAATGCACACAAGGAAAAGAATGCGGCATCATTGCAACATGTAACACATAGATCAAAATGCATTTATAAGAGGTGTTTTATCATTGCCATGGAAACAGTGAGTAACAGTGTTATTCTGTGGGAAGGTATTTACATCCACAATGTGCTTATTATATGGTTTACATTAATGCTTGTTCAGATTCTGGCCAACAACCATAAAGCTAGTAATTAGGGATGCACCGATACCAGGAAAATACAGTAAAGTTCGGTACTTACTGATACTGAATACCGATACCAGAAGTCCCATTAAGGAAGCCAGGTGACTTGTAATGACTCTCCACCCTGCATCCTGATAACCCATGAAATGAACAGGTGATGAGGAAGCACAAAGCCGTCTTTCTGGCCTATCAGGAGGCAGAGGGACGGGTAATGAATTGCCCCCCGGCTTACTGATTGGCCAGCAAGCCAGCTCCATGCTCCCTGGTGACGAGAGAGCATGGAGCTGACTTCCCGGACAATCTGAGTCTGATGGCGTGTAATTAGTAGAATATACAGAGACACCAGCACTCCAATAGTAAATCAAATACGTCTGTTTATTGACGTATGCGTAGCATAGGGTGATACACTTAATGCAACGTTTCGGTGGTCACACAGGAAACCCCTCATCAGGCAGAACAAGTGATACAGATGCAGGGGACTGAACTTGTTGCCAGCCGTTGACTACGGTAGCACCCACCCTAATCTCTTTGGAATGGCAGTTTTTGAGTGCGATGGGTTCATGGATTTTGGGCGGCGTGTAATGACACGCCACCCTGCTTCCTGATACCGGAAGTTCCGGTATCAGGATAGGCACCAATACTGGTACTATTATCGGTGCATCCCTACTAGGAATGTTACCTCTCATCTAAAGCTGGCTATAGACCAGTAGAATTTTTTTTAAAAAGTAATCTTTTCGGAACATGCATTGGATTTTCTAGTAACTAATGGGGTTAAATTGATGATCAATTTTGACGTCCCAGGAAAAAAAAAATTTAAGTAGGATGGAAATTTTTTCTCAAAGGAACAAAATTCAGTGAATGTGGTTTTCGTTTAAAAAACTGTTAATTCCAAAATCAATGTCCAAAAGACATTTTGAACGATATTCTACAAGTCTCTGGTAGTATTATCGAATGTTCCGAGCAGATTTTTTTTATACAAAAGTTGGTACAAAAATCTTCCAGTGTATGGT